CAATTTAGTTGCACTTTGCTATACGTATAGCCAATATGTCTAGCTACGTGGACACATTTTTTATTTTCAGATTACTTAATATTAAAATGGTTCCACAGGACTTTAAATACAAAAAGAAAAGCCGCCGTCGGTGAGTGGACTCGAGGATTCAGTGACGTTGTTGCGTTCCTAAATACATACTTTAGCAACATATTACCGTAAAACAAAACGGCAATTACACTGAATATTTTCTTAAATTATAAGCACGGAGCCTGAATGCGTTTTTCTTTGTTCTCATCACGTAATTACCTCAAACAAATTCTACTCAAAGTGCTGAATAATTAAGGAGTCAAGAGGTTTTTTGGTCCAAACTAGCCTTTAAAAAATGTCCGAATTTTATTTCTCCAGCTATTGCACTTCAAGGATAGTATTAAAGATAAGAATGCCACAATGAGTGGGCGTGGTCCAGATATTTTGGCAAACGCGACATGAACAGTACCATTTATGCTGACATTTAGCGCGCTGTTAGTGCTAAATAATCAATCTAATATAGGTTTGCTAAGCGTACGCCGGAGAGCTTTTGAAGCGGCCCAATATTTCTTCAGTCTTCGCAGCCTCAGACGTCAAAATCAGGCAAAAAAGGGGCGTGTCTCAGAGATTCGGGCATGCGCGCCGTCAATTGCATTATTAATGGCGACACTCAGAGGTCTATAATTCATTGTAATGAATCTGCTCTAGGTCTGTGACGCATACGCCCGAGTGCTTTTGAAGCGGCCCCGTATTTCTTAAGTTACCGCTCTCCAAAGATGGCCTCAGACGTTAAAATCAAGCAAAAAGGGGGCGTTTCCTACAAATTTGGGCATACGCGCCGTCAATTGTACCATCAATGGCGACACTTAGCAATCTGTAATTCAGTATAATGAATCTCCTCTAGGTCTGTGACGCATACGCCCGAGTGCTTTTGAAGCGGCCCTGTATTTCTTAAGTTATCGCTCTCCAAAAATGGCCTCAGACGTCAAAATCAGGCAAAAAGGGGGCGTTTCCCGCAAATTTGGGCATACGCGCCGTCAATTGTACCATCAATGGCGACACTTAGCAATCTGTAATTCAGTATAATGAATCTCCTCTAGGTCTGTGACGCATCCGCCCGAGTACTATTGAAGCGGCCCTGTATTTCTTACGTTATCGCTCTCCAAAAATGGCCTCAGACGTCAAAATCAGGCAAAAAGGGGGCGTTTCCCGCAAATTTGGGCATACGCGCCGTCAATTGTACCATCAATGGCGACACTTAGCAATCTGTAATTCAGTATAATGAATCTCCTCTAGGTCTGTGACGCATACGCCCGAGTGCTTTTGAAGCGGCCCTGTATTTCTTAAGTTATCGCTCTCCAAAGATGGCCTCAGACGTCAAAATCAGGCAAAAAGGGGGCGTTTCCCGCAAATTTGGGCATACGCGCCGTCAATTGTACCATCAATTGCGACACTTAGCAATCTGTAATTCAGTATAATGAATCTCCTCTAGGTCTGTGACACATACGCCCGAGTGCTTTTGAAGCGGCCCTGTATTTCTTAAGCTACCGCTCTCCAAAGATGGCCTCAGACGTTAAAATCAGGCAAAAAGGGGGCGTTTCCCGCAAATTCGGGCATACGCGCCGTCAATTGTACCATCAATGGCGACACTTAGCAATCTGTAATTCAGTATAATGAATCTCCTCTAGGTCTGTGACGCATACGCCCGAGTGCTTTTGAAGCGGCCCTGTATTTCTTAAGTTATCGCTCTCCAAAAATGGCCTCAGACGTCAAAATCAGGCAAAAAGGGGGCGTTTCCCGCAAATTCGGGCATACGCGCCGTCAATTGTACCATCAATGGCGACACTTAGCAATCTGTAATTCAGTATAATGAATCTCCTCTAGGTCTGTGACGCATACGCCCGAGTGCTTTCGAAGCGGCCCTGTATTTCTTAAGTTATCGCTCTCCAAAGATGGCCTCAGACGTCAAAATCAGGCAAAAAGGGGGCGTTTCCCGCAAATTTGGGCATACGCGCCGTCAATTGTACCATCAATGGCGACACTTAGCAATCTGTAATTCAGTATAATGAATCTCCTCTAGGTCTGTGACGCATACGCCCGAGTGCTTTTGAAGCGGCCCTGTATTTCTTAAGTTATCGCTCTCCAAAGATGGCCTCAGACGTCAAAATCAGGCAAAAAGGGGGCGTTTCCCGCAAATTTGGACATACGCGCCGTCAATTGTACCATCAATGGTGACACTTAGCAATCTGTAATTCAGTATAATGAATCTCCTCTAGGTCGGTGACACATACGCCCGAGTGCTTTTGAAGCGGCCCTGTATTTCTTAAGCTACCGCTCTCCAAAGATGGCTTCAGACGTTAAAATCAAGCAAAAAGGGGGCGTTTCCTACAAATTTGGGCATACGCGCCGTCAATTGTACCATCAATGGCGACACTTAGCAATCTGTAGTTCAGTATAATGAATCTCCTCTAGGTCTGTGACGCATACGCCCGAGTGCTTTTGAAGCGCCTCTGTATTTCTTAAGTTATCGCTCTCCAAAGATGGCCTCAGACGTCAAAATCAGGCAAAAAGGGGGCGTTTCCCGCAAATTCGGGCATACGCGCCGTCAATTGTACCATCAATGGCGACACTTAGCAATCTGTAATTCAGTATAATGAACCTCCTCTAGGTCTGTGACGCATACGCCCGAGTGCTTTTGAAGCGGCCCTGTATTTCTTAAGTTATCGCTCTCCAAAGATGGCCTCAGACGTCAAAATCAGGCAAAAAGGGGGCGTTTCCTACAAATTTGGGCATACGCGCCGTCAATTGTACCATCAATGGCGACACTTAGCAATCTGTAATTCAGTATAATGAATCTCCTCTAGGTCTGTGACGCATACGCCCGAGTGCTTTTGAAGCGGCCCTGTATTTCTTAAGTTATCGCTCTCCAAAGATGGCCTCAGACGTCAAAATCAGGCAAAAAGGGGGCGTTTCTCGCAAATTCGGGCATACGCGCCGTCAATTGTACCATCAATGGCGACACTCAGCAATCTGTAATTCAGTATAGTGAATCTCCTCTAGGTCTGTGACGCATACGCCCGAGTGCTTTTGAAGCGGCCCTGTATTTCTTAAGTTATCGCTCTCCAAAGATGGCCTCAGTCGTCAAAATCAAGCAAAAAGGGGGCGTTTCCCGCAAATTTGGGCATACGCGCCGTCAATCGTACCATCAATGGCGACACTTAGCAATCTGTAATTCAGTATAATGAATCTCCTCTAGGTCTGTGACGCATACGCCCGAGTGCTTTTGAAGCGGCCCTGTATTTCTTAAGTTACCGCTCTCCAAAGATGGCCTCAGACGTCAAAATCAGGCAAAAAGGGGGCGTTCCCACGAACACCTACTTATCGATCAGGCACCACACAATCTTCGGAGCTGAAACGGTTCACACACCGTTATTCATATTGGCTTGAAAAAACCAAACCTCTTTATCTCAGAGAGCCTTCCGATGGCGCACTCTCGTGCTGTCAATGAATTCTCATTTTTAGGGGTGTCTGATGTTCTAATTTTATACTTGCAGAGTCATTAATACACAGAATGGGTGATTACTAATTTTTAAGGAATTAGTAAATATGGCCAATGAATTTCAAGAATATTCCAAAAAGAGGACAATTATTTTAATGAAGTAACAAATTCTAATTGTGTTTAATTATCACGTGTAACGCACAATCCGCTAAGCTAAGAACAAATTTAAAAAAAAATTGGTGAGCTCTTCTCCGCATCCGCTCAAGGGCCGGTGAGCTTTTCTCCGGATCTGCGGGTTTTTCGGTAAGCTTTTCTCCGGTGAGCTTCTCTCCGGTGAGCATTTCTCCGTTGAGATTTTCTCCGTTGAGATTTTCTCCAAGGGCTTTTTTCTGCCGCCCTCCAGGGACACGGCACCAAAGTGCCAAGATCTAGCACGGTCACGGTTCCTCCGCATCCTTAAGGTGTATTCACACGAAGGACTTCGTCCGCGGACAAGTTCCTACGAAAGGCGTGACGTCACCTTTTCCGGGGTATAAAATCGGCCATTCTTCTTTCGAAAACAGCAGGCAAAACGAAGGGACATGTCCACGGACCTGAAAAACGTGTCCTCGGACCTGATATATCTTGCGTATCACGTGGGCGAACGTCACAGAATATGTCCGCGGACCTGCCGGACGATGATTATAGGAGTATTGAAAGCGATCCAATTCTGCCTTTTTTCGAGTCCGCTGTGGTCCTCGGACAAGCCCGGGAACCGATTGCGTGAAAGTGCTCGTGGTACACTTCGTTGCACGAGCGGTTTTCTTTTTCTTTTTTTTTATATGCCTCTCACGGTTCTCGTGCACGGATAGGCCTTTGCTCATTTTCCAGTATGATTAGTACGCACGAGCTACAGCTGTGGAAGATGCTCGAGGATTCCTGCGCTTAGTGAAAAGAGGAGCCGAAAAGAAAAAGAAAGAAAACGACGGGAAATTGTTTTCGATTCGAACATGGAGGCCAACAAGGCTTCACGAGTTGTTGTGGCTTGTGCCCTCATGATGGCGGATGAGGAAGTCGCGGAAGCACCTAATACCGACGCAAAAAAAACCATGGATTAAAACACGGATGTCCAAGAAGGAACTCGGTATACAGAATCTACTCTATCAACCCCGTGGAGTACCGCCGCTTGCTGCGCGTTGACTCCAACCAGTTTGCTGACATTCTCTCGTCAATTGCATCGTGCATCCAAAAACTCGACACTGAAATGCGTCCAGCCATTCCAGCCAAAGACAAGCTTCAACTGACGTTGCGGTTTCTTGCTTCAGGTGTATGGTTATTCTTCTGACTTTTGTCCTTGTTTCAGCATATTTGAGAGCTACGCTCGACTTAGCCGTGCTTCTTGTTTTCTTGCGAATTTTCAGGCGAAAGTCAACATTCCTTAAGCAGGCAGTTCCGCATTAGCCACAGCGTTGTCAACGGGTTCCTCGTTGAAACTTGTGACGCCATTTACAAAATGCTGGGACCAAAATATCTGGTGTCCCCGCGGACGAAAGATGAGTGGCTTGCAGTAATGAAGAACTTTTACGAAAGATGGCAGTTTCCGCAATGCATTGGAGCGCTGGATGGAAAACATGTGACAATTATCAAACCTCCGAACTCTGGATCTGTGTATATTAATTACAAGAAGACCTTCAGTATCGTGCTTTTTGCTCTTGTGGACGCAGACAGCAGGTTTTTGTACATTGATGTTGGCGCACCCGGGTCTGATGGAGATGGAGGCATTTGGAGGACGACACCACTGCGGAATGCCATCTTGAACGGAACAGCCGGGCTGCCGATCTCAGGACCTGGACCGGTCGGCGTCCCACCCGTCATCGTGGGAGACGACGCCTTCCCCTTGTCTGTAAACTTAATGAAGCCGTACACTGGTACAAATTTGGATGAAGAAAAGGTTATATTTGACTACAGGTGTGTTGCCTACATCATGTCATTTCTAAACACCGTATTTCTTATCGTTTTATTTTTTTTTATTTCAGATTAAGCCGAGCCAGACGGGTAGCAGAAAATCCGTTTGGAATTCTGGCAAACCGTTTTAGGTTTTTGCACACGACTATCGATGCCGAACCAGGAAGGGTCACCTCGTTCATCAAGGCGGCGTGTGTGCTGCATAACTATTTGCGAGCTGCACCTGTGCTTTTTAAAGCGTCGAGAGAGGACCAACAGCGAAAAAGGGCAATCTACTTCGGGCTACGAAGTTTCCAAGGGCGCTCCGGGGCAAGAGCTCTAGATGTGCGTGAGCGTCTACTGAGATACTTTAATGACGACGGCGCCGTCGCGTGGCAGAGGGAACAGGCGGGCCTTAATCTGCGGATAAATAACAAAATGTAACCTTATCTGCATGTTCAGACAAGTGCAGTAGCAAATATACCATTTCATGAGCTTTATATTGCTACTTCCTTTACTTAACAACCGTTCATGCATGTGCTGGCACTTGGACCACCAAAAACTTTTTGTGTTATGCTCTAATTGTTCAATTTTATGTAAATAAACTTGAAAGAATCTTTAATGTTTTCTTATTTTTTATTTCGTCATGCTATAATATTGGTTCGCAATCTACACACCCGCCCCAGTCCAACAAAAACATCCATCAGGTCCGAATGGAATGAGTACAAAACGCAAAGCATACAAGCATTTGTTTGTTTTCAAGTATCCCTTTACTTATGAGTGCGAAATGCTGATTTTGGATTAACATTTTTTTAGTTTAAATTGGGTTCGTTGAATTACATTTATTCTTGCTGTCGGTCTAGGTAACGCTTGACGAGTTCCAATACCTCTATCTGACACCCAATAAAATTGGTTCCGTTTAGGTTTCTCATGTGGCCCGCCACTACTCTTGCGAAATTATCAGCGCTGTCGCAACTTTTTTCAGTTGCAAAACTTTCCGCAGTTTTAGTGAAAGCAACCGTGCGCTCTTTCCACCCAGAGCTGGAGCAGTCATCTGTTTCATTTTTTTTTTTCGTCATCGCACTTTGAGCGCTTCACAGGAGTGCCAGACGCTTCCACACTGGGACTCGTTGTTCCGCGCGGTGTGTGTGTGGAAGGCGTGCCCAGGACAGGTTCCTTCATCTCAGTCATAACAGACGCCAATTCTGTCTCACTGTCCATCTGGAAAGGTAAAAGGAATACGAATGCATTACTGTAGAGGAACTGTATGTAAAGCCCCCGCTTGCACGGCAGAATATCGCAAGTGTCTGCCATTTACTGTTCAGAGCAATGAGGGAGAGATAAAAAGAGAGAGAGATAGAGAGAGAGAAAGAGAGATAGTTTTAGTAGTGAAGGGAGGACGGCGATGGGTTACGTGACCAAGAGTAGATGTCACAGCCGTAGTTTTGTGGGAGAAGCGAGAGTTGTTTTTTATAAAGACGCAGCAGGTCGGGCCCATCGAAGGCTCACCGGCGGTTGGCAATTTCACTTGCAAAATTTAATTAAAAAAAAGTTAACTCAATAAATTTGAATGAAACTGCATTGCGGCCAGGACCCGGCCCGCGGGCCGCCGGTTGTCAAATCCTAAGATAGTGTCTCGCAGCTTCATTCAGAGACTAACAGCACTTCAAGAAACCGTGGTTAACACGAGTGAAAAAAAAAAAAAACTGCTGAAGCCCGAACAAAACAAATTGCTGAAGCGTGTAGAGCAAAGCCAGAACTCGAACGTCAGCCAAGCTAATAGGATTCAGTGACCTCCATCAACGAACGCTCGCCAACGTTTCGCTCGATAGGTATAAAAAATCAAGTTAAACGAATGGGTCAACCCGCCAAAGGTTACTCACTCTACTGGGATCCTCGTGTTGGTAACATTCGTTGCACTCCCGGGAAAGGACAGGTTTGCTCCGATCCAAGAACAGGAGACTGCGGTAGAACCTCCATCTACCGTTGTACGTGTACTCCGCAGCTTGGCCGCTCTTCGTCTTCGTAATTTTTTCCTTCTCCCGTCTGAAGATGCGTCGCTTATTTTTTAAAAAAAGCACCTCACTCCCTCCAAAGTATTAGACAACAATAAGCGGTCAAATACAACACGGAATCGACACTAATTAGTCCGCCTTCAATGAACCCACTCTCCGTGTAAGGCCCATACTGGGAGTAGCGCCGTTCCATTTCATTGACAATTTGTTTCTAGAGCTCTGATTTTATACCGTTGTTGCGGTACTGGTCGTTTTGAAGGCACCAAAGCTGTGGTAACTCTTCTACGAGTACGATTAAGCACAGCGTCGCTTCATCGCTGTGCTTCCCGCAACGCGCTCCGCAGCCCGCTATACGGTACCCGGCACTCTACCTACAGTCAAGGCCATCGGCGCGCAGGCGCAGTAGTGGCTTCTTTGTTGCGGAGGGCTTAGCGGAGGGAAAAACGCGGTCTACGAAAGCTCCCTATATATTCCTAACAAAGGTTAACCTACCCCGTAAAGTACGCACGGCCTTACCGCTCGAAAATCGGAGGTCTGAACTCTAGGGTGAGATCTGTCCCCTCAGGTTAACTGATAAGGAATTTCAAAGCTCGGTCGCGCGCGCTAACGTCGCGGCGCTCTACTGTCGCGCACGCTACAGCTTTGCGGCGCCCTAGTGTCGGCCCTCTCGTGTTGTGCGCTCTGGAGTTGTACAGACACCTCAGAAGTCGAAAACAGGCAAAAATGGGGCGTGCCCTGAAATTTGGACATACGCGCCGTCAATTGTACCATCAAAGGTACGTACACGATGGTGATGTGGAGCGACAGGCGCAGAATTCGCCGGCGTCGATGCGCTCGCGATGCGAGCAAAATGTTTTGATGTGAAATGGCGAAGATCCGCTCTCGCCACTGACGAGACCGTGGTCGTTGTACGCATTTATCCCATGGTCGAAGATGTTGACGTAATTGATTACCTTGTCCGAAAAAGCTTTCTTGTACGGGAACGCTTTAAAGCACACACAACCACTTGACGATCGGCTGGGTGCAGGAGCCGCGATTGAATGTTATTTCGAATGGTGAAGTTGTTTTTATTAGGAAGTGAGTTCCTACTCAACCATAATCACAATTTCCGAGTTTACGAGTTCCTAGTTTGCGAAGCGCACACAGCGCAACAACAACGCAAGGTGTACCTCGCTAGATTGTTTTTCTCCACCACACAAGCTTGTGGTATAGTGGAAAGTCATCAGTGGGGCCACAGACTTGCACGCGTCGATGTCATATTGGCACTAACAGTGTACACAAACACGTTATAAAAGTGCGTTACACACCTAACAAATAAATGCGCCCGACAGACTCGATAATGAGCGGCCGCATCATCGACGTCAGCACTGAGCCGGCTCTGCCATTCGTCCCTTCTTTTTTTCGGCAGCTTTTCCGACGCGGGCCCACGGTACACGTTAATGGGGACCTTTAGCAAACCGCTGCCGCGTTCCGAGTACCGCACTACCGGAGCCTTTGAAGTATGCTTTTTAGCGCGTGCCCTGCGGCCACGGTATCACCCGGGCGCGCGCCTAAAAGCGTGCTTCAAAGGCTCTGGTAGTGCGGTACTCAGAACGCGGCAGCGGTTTGCTAAAAGTCCCTAATGTTACGATCGCCGGGTTACGGTAAAAACCGCCCGTGTAACTGCCGCAACTTTTTTTTTTTTTTTCGCTAACGTTTGTTGCAGTTGAGCGCAGCACAGTCTACCATAGCTTCCGCTGCAAGTTACTGTCGTCTCAACCACCAGCATGTCGACACCGGCGTGCGACGTCATTCTGTGATGTAGTTGCAACCCATGTATACTACAATGGTTTGTTTTAGGCTTCATCTAGCACTCTGAAGGGTCTGGGACATTTTAATTTGCGAAATATTCAGTGTACGGACTTTTCGGTGCAGAGTCCGGAGATTTCATCGAACGCCGTTTCATTGAACACGGTTTCATTTAAGCCGTTTTATCGATCGCAGTTTTATCAAACGCCGTTTCATCGAACGCCATTTCATCGAAGCCGTTTCATTGAACGCCGCCTACTTGAGCCGTAGAAATTCTACATCTAGGAAATATTTTTCGTTTTAGCGCCGGGAGGATAGCAGTGTTTAAATCTTTATTATAATTTATAAACGTTTACATAGATAAAAGGAAGAAACCTTTTTTGCCACTTTCTATTCTTTTTTTTTTTTAGTAAATTATGACCTCTTTTAATATTGACAATAAGAAACGGGAACATTGACGACACTTCCTAAAGCTGTGATCATCAGGTGCAGTGATGAACGTCCGTCCGTTGCCCTTGAAGAGACATATTCTGCTTCGAGATGAAGTCGTCATTGAAGCAGTGATCTGTCTCCGTGTCGTGTGATACGAGAAAAAAAAATAGACGTGTCTCCCTTCTTTGTTAATTTACTGTAACCGACAGAACCATGGACCTACCGGATATTCGACATACAGTATACAGTGGGTAGCGGACATTTCATCGAACGCCGTTTCATCGAACGCCGTTTCATCGAATGAACGGACATTTCATCGAATGCCATTTCATCGAACACCGTTTCATCGAACCGCTAAGGGCCGTTTCATCGAATTTCTCTGTATCGAGTTTTGGGGCATAACAGTGCTTTATAGATGTTTTACCTTACATTTGTTAAGACTAAGGTAGTCACTTGTGAAAGTGTCTTTAGGGTGGAGCCAAATTACTAGAAATGAAAACCATTGGTATAAAAACAAATGGGTATGCGACTTACTGAAAAGTTTTACTCATGTACTTGTCAGAAAACATGACACTGGAGGTAAGGGCCGACACTTAAATCACTTTTGAATGTCTGTCGTTTTTTTACCGGCTGTCCGGGGGTTTCGGTAATGTGCCATTCACACCAGCTCATTTGCACACTTACGCTTAGTTGAAGGTTTATTCACGAAAAGCATTTAACTGCCAGGGCAGCACGCTTATAATAAAACGATACTCTGCCAGGAGAGCACACGAAATAAAATATAACGATACTCTGATTATCAGCTTAATGCTCAGATTGAACGTTTCTGCTTTTTTTTTTTTTTTTGGTTTTCAAACTCTACAGAGTCAAAAGCTGCACAAAGTGTCACCCAACATGGTTTCGGGCTACACCTGGACTGGAACCACCTCCCCTTCACTGTCAACTTTATTACCGACCCTTTTGCCTATGAATCATCTTCAGGACGCTTTCTTAGGAAGGCCAACCCGCACCAGACAAAAGTAAAGCTCTGAGTGTACTCTGTCACCCAAGAAGACAGAACCCTTTCGGATCCTCACATAACCCAAGGTTACAGGTACACGCTGTCAAACAATAAAACACTACCCGCTTCCCAGAAAGCACGTCGTGCTTTCTGTTTTTTCTTTTTTTTTTGTCTAATTTTTAATTGTTTCATGGAGGATTTCTTCTCGAAGCA